CCCCCCCCAGTTCAGTCGACCACTATTTGGCTGGCCACCGCCCATATCCGGCCACCCCAAGAGTCGGGCCTAATACCAAAATAGCCAGCGCCACGTCATCTTCCCACCTTACCCCACCCCGACCGCAACTAGCAGCTCAGGTCGCCGGAAAACTTCCGACGTTGTTTCAGATGATTCCGGCTACCAAATTTGTCGATCCAGGTATGCTTTCTCATCCTTTCAACCTGATCTAGCTGATGGTTGGGTTGGTTATGATTGATTTTGAAATTTTGAAACTCGTTTTACAACTCAAAGTTTCAGCCAGTTTTTTGTTGTGGCCCAAGAACAAAAGTTGCTCCATTAGTTGTCCTTATCTCGTAAGTGTAGGTATTGTTGGGTGTTTCGAGAATTTTCCAATTGCTGAAATTTTCTCACGACACCAACTCTTTGCGGGCCCCTGTGGCAGTGCGTGGGCCATGTTTGGGCGACCCATTTGGTTCTCAAATATTCTTCATGTCGTCCTAAGCACGATGGTATGCTCGGATTTGAATTTTGGTTATCGTTTGACAGTCGATCGGATTTACCTAATATTAGGCGTTATTCGGGTTCGATATGTTCAGACAAATGGATTGATTCCATTTTCAAATATGTTGATCTAGGCACCTTTAGGATCGTGTAGGAATTCGCGGATCGAGAATCGGAGTCTCATTTGCTCCGATTCAATGACTTAAAGTTTACATTAAACGGTGACCGTGCGATTGCGAGCAATCCGACCTCTCAATCTTGACCTAACTTGCAGGACATGGTGACAGGACCCGACCCAAATTCCACTTTGGTATCCGAGTCGAACACTGTGTGTATCCGACACCTAGCAGGTGCCAAACACAATTTACTAAATTGCCCTTCCAAACAAAATCCAAAGATATTCAAGTACAACTTCTGTCGAAAATTCGACAGAGTCCCCCCTGTAAATTGAATATTTCCCAAAATTTCCTCCTGTAAAACAAGCATATATATAACCCAACTGCCAGCATGCATAAAATTATGTCCAAGAAAATCAAGCATCATATCATTCTGGCCTCAGGCCTCAACAATTCAAATAAATCATTCTGTTAACAAATTCAATTTTGATTCTTGGAACACTCTCAGAATAGTATTAGATTTCAAATAACTTAACTGGACTACCTGTCAACAAATTATCCTCGCGGCTGCACCTTGAATTCTAGGTTGCCTACGTACCCTTAACCAGGGATCAAGCCACACGTAGTTTTTTCCCTTGTTATACTATTCTTGTTATGCTTGTACATAAACCGAATAGGTTCATTTATATTTATATATCCATTCATACGTTTGCATACATCTTCACACCAGTTTAAAATATTGTAAAACAAATATTCCTCTTCCACCTAGGTATGCCTATCATTATCCGTCAATTCCTCGTGTCTCAGCTCGTGACACGTCCTCGCAGGTCTCGGTAGCTCAGAGCCGACCCAAACCGCAATCCTCGCAGGACTCAGGGGACGTTTAGTCGACCTGATCTGCAATCCTCGAAATAGTTCATACTCAAACATATGTAAGTCACTTATTGAATTGACTCTAATTCATAAATCAATTTATATATATATATTTATATTTGAGCCTTATGTGAGTTTCGAAGTAGGGATAAAAGGATCTTCAGAGCTTGTTAGTTTTATATATAATGGTACTTAAGGCTTACGAAATTAATGGTACTGTATAAACTCCAACATTTTAGTTTAAAGGCATCTCAAAACTTAAATTTTCTCCACCTAGGCGTACCCCCATTCCTGATCCGTCAATTCCATTATTATTCCGTCAAATCCAAATATTCCGTCAATTCCATCCTCGCAGACCTCGGAAACACAAAGTTAACTGAGCCGCGTTTCTCGCAGGCCTCAGAGACACCAAGTCAATCCAAGCCGCCCTCCTCGCATGCCTCAAGGGACCATAAGTTAACCTGAGCCGCGTTCCTCGCAGGTCTCAGGAGACCATTAGTTAGCCTGAGCTGCGTTCCTCGCAGGTCTCGGAGACACCAAGTCAATCCGAGCCGCGCTCCTTGCACCACACGGTTCAGGCGTTCCCGAACTCGTGGGGCATTATTTATGAACAACAACTGTTTCAAGGCAACTGGGGAGTACTCCTGTGGTGGGTTTAAAAACATCATATCTGAAACTTATCTTGAAATTCCTCTTACTTCACAAACTATTTAGATATTTAGATAATTTATTAATTATGGCAAAATCCCATTAACGAATCATTTTGAAACTAAAATAATAATCTTTAAGAGTAATGGATAACTCAATCAGTAAATAAATAACTAACTACATAATTCACTACCCACTGCCCTTAAAGGTCTCATCCTTTCCTATAATGCAAAGTTTTCATATCTCATATATAACATTTAGAAGCACTGTTAAACACTATAATAAAGCCTCAAATTGAACTAATGAAAATACATACCATTAGCGATCTAAAACACATGATTATCTAAATATCAATTATCCGAAATTATATATGTATTATGTATATCCCTTCCATAATCACATAAATCCATGAAATGATCCATATAACTCAATTTTCGGTCAGAACTCATCTGCAAGCTCATTCTAACACTTCTCAAGGGATATAACTACCTCGGAAGGTTAACCGTCAAATGAGGGGTCTAACTGCTTAAACTTGGTCAACGGGGCCTGCAGGGCCCACGACCTCTGATTTCTCATCCATGAGTTCCTATAGGTTCCACCTATTTTAATAACTACGTCCTAAAAGTTAGGTCAGAATCAGACGGTCGGATTAATCACGATCGTGCGATCAGATGGACGGACAGTTTTATATAATCCTAGCCCTAGGGTTGGCATTTTCGGAGTATCCGGGACTCCATTTGATGATCCGTCAAATCCCACACGATCCTGGAATCACCTAGATCAACATATTTCAGTTTGACTATGATCCAACGGTCCAAACATATTGAACCCAGAAATCGCGCAACAGGTGAGGTCTGTTCGGGGTTCAAACGTTGTCCGAATCGAAATCCGCAAATTCCTACGCGCTCGTGAGGACACGAGGATCATTCTAGGATCAAGAGTGGTCCCCGACACCTGCCCACGTGCCGCCCACGCGCTGCCGGCGCGTGGGTGTGTAAAGTAAATTCCGGTGGCTGGAAATTCTCCAAACCGCCAACCCAAACTCCTACCCTAGGTAAAGCACCTAATTTGGGACCGTTTTTGTTCTTAGACTATGGCCAAAAAATGGTCATAAGTGGCTGAAATCAAGCTTCCAAAACCAGCAGAATTTCAATTCGAAAACTAACCCTTCAAACCTCAAAATCTCACAAATCCTACCCAACCATCAGCTAGAGCACGAAAAATAGGTAAGAAAGCATACCTCACTCGTCAGAAACAGTGGCCGGAGGAGGGAGAACGAGCTCCGTGAAATTCCATTTAAAACTGTCCAAACCGCCCTGTTTCGTGGCTGTTTCCGTCGACAACGACGACGGATCG